GCGATTGCATGCAAAATTGAAAAAGGAAAAGGGAATCGGCCGATCCCGATTGTGTGTGTAGGGGGCCCCAGCAGCCCGTTTGAGATAAACTGTTGGGTGGGGCAGGCAACCTTTGTGGTGGTCTGGTGTGGGGGTGTGGGGGGGGGGGGGGGGGGGGACAGGGGAAGGGATTAACGGGGGGGTTTCAAGCTGTAGGATAGCGGGAGGGACCTAAAAAGGGTGTGTAATTATAAGCTGGCCCTAACTCTAATCAGGCACCAATTGTATGTAAGTTTTTGTATCTCCCAATTGTGTTGGTTAGCCAACTGGTTTGGGAGGGAGTCTCCATCTGATGGGGGCCCAAAGAGGTAGTCGGGCTATGGAAGTGTGTCACGCTGGGCCTTATATATTTTTTTATATATTCAAATTTGAGCCCCCTTCTTTCCCTCTTACCCCCTAAATTGGCCCCGGGCACGGGCGTGGGGGGGGGGGAAAATTCGTGACAATCCCCACTCTTTTAATTTAAAACACAGACCGGCCCGGAGGGGTGAGGAGGATTTGGGGGGTTTCCATGAAAATAAACCAGCCCTGCCCGGAGAGGTGAGGGGGTTTCCCGGGGAATCAAACATAAATGTTCCTTTTGGGCTCTCAAAACAGAAAATTTCCTCTTCTGAATCGGGGAAACAAATGCCCCATCCCCAGTGCCCCCTTTGTACCCCTAAAACCCTGAGAGAAAAAACTTTGGAAAGATTTTTGAAGTCACCAAGAAAAATTAAAGGAGCTGCTGCCCAGGAGGGTGACCCGGTCCCGGGGAATTCGGGGGACTTTTTCCCCAGTAACAAAAAAGGGGATGTTTTTGGATGGTGATGATCTTTTTGGTTTTCGGGTTCCCCTTTAAGGGGGGCAGGGGTTTCTAAACCTTTTTCAAATTCCCCGGCCCCCCCTTTAATACATTTTCCTCCAGGTTGTGGTGCCCCCCAAACCCAAAAAAATTATTTTCATTGTACTTAAATAACTTTAATTTTCCCAGTGGGAGGAGTATCCCATGCCTTGGGTTTTCAGTGGAAGGAGTTTCCCCCACCCTTGATGTCAGGGAAAAATAGTGCCCCATTTTTGGTATCTGGGGGGGAAATAGGGGCCCCCGCCCACTGTTTCCCAGTGGGAGGAAAGGGGGCCCCATCGTTGGTGTCAGTGGGGGGGGGAAAAAGTCCCCCATCTTTTGGTGCCCAGTGGGGGGAATAGGGCCCCATCTTTTGGTGTAAATTTGGGAGGGGGGGAGTCCCCCTTCTTTTGGGGGTTGTCAGGGGGAGGAAAAATGCCCCCTTTCTTTTGGGTCAGGGGGGGAAAGTATCCCCCATTTTGGTGTCATGGGGGGGAGTAGTCCCCCCATCGTTGGTGTCAGTGGGAGGGTAGTCCCCCATCGTTGGTGTCGTGGGAATAGTGCCCATCGTTTGGTCAGTGGGGAGTAGTGCCCACGTTGGGTCAGTGGGAGGGGGTGGGCCCCACCCCCTTTGTCAGGGGGAGGAGTTAGTGCCCCACGTGTGTCAGTGGGAGGAGGTAGTGCCCCCAATCGTTGGTGTCAGTGGGAGGAGTAGTGGCCCATCGTTGGTGTCAGTGGAGGAGTTGTGCCCATCGTTGGTGTCAGTGGGAGGAGTAGTGCCCATCGTTGGTGTCAGTGGGAGGAGTAGTGCCAATCGTTGGTGTCAGATGGGAGGTGTAGTGCCATCGTTGGTGTCAGTGGGAGGAGTAGTGCCATCGTTGGATGTCAGCCCCATCTTGGTGTCAGGGGAGTAGTGCCCCATCCTTGGTGTCAGTGAGGGAGTAGTGCCCCATCACTGGTGTCAGTGGGAGGAGTAAGTGCCCCATCACTGGTGTCAGTGGGAGGAGTAGTGCCCAGCACTCATTGGGGTCAGTGGGAGGGAGATTAAGTGCCCATCATTGGTGTCAGTGGGGGAGTAGTGCCCCATCATTGGTGTCAGTGGAGGAGTAGTGCCCCATCATCGGTCGTAGTCATTGTGGGAGTGGGGAGTAGTGCCCCATCATTGGATGTCAGTGGGGGGAGTAGTGCTCCATCACTGGTGTCAGTGGGGGGAGTAGTGCCCCATCATGGTGTGTCAGTGGGCGGAGTATGTGCCATCACTGGTGTCAGTGGGAGGAATAGTGCCACATCATTGGTGTCAGTGGGAGGAATAGTGCCCCATCATTGGTGTCAGTGGGGGGAGTAGTGCCCCTTTGTCATTGGTGTCAGTGGGGGGAGTAGTGCCCATCATGGTGTCAGTGGGGGGAGTGTGCCCCATCATTGGTGTCAGTGGGAGGAGTAGTGCCCCATCACTGGTGTCAGTGGGGGGAGTAGTGCCCATCCACGTGTGTCAGGTGGGAGTCAGTGCCCCATCACTGGTGTCAGTGGGAGAAATAGTGCCACATCATTGGTGTCAGTGGAGGATAGTGCCCCATCATTGGTGTCAGTGGGAGGAATATGTGCCCATCATTGGTGTCAGTGTGGTGGAGGGGGAGAATAGTGCCCATCATTGGGGTCTAGGGGGGGGGGGGGCGAATAGTGTCCCATCGTTGTGTCAGTGGGGGGAGGAATATGTGCCCATCATGGTGTCAGTGGGAGGAATAGTGCCCCATCGTTGATGTCAGTGTGGTGGAGGGGAGAATAGTGCCCCATCATTGGGGTCAGGGGGGGGGAAAATAGTGCCCATCGTTGGTGTCAGTGGGGGGAAGAATAGTGCCCCATCGTTGGTGTCAGTGGGGGAGGAATACTGCCCCATCGTTGGTGTCAGTGGGGGGAGGAATACTGCCCCATCGTTGGGTGTCAGTGGGGGGAGGGAATACTGCCCCATCGTTTGGTGTCAGTGGGGGGAGGAATACTGCCCCATCGTTGGTGTCAGTGGGGGGGAGGAATAGTGCCCCATCGTTGGTGTCAGTGGGGGAGGAATAGTGCCCCATCGTTGGTGTCAGTGGGGGGAGGAATAGTGCCCCATCGTTGGTGTCAGTGGGGGGAGGAATAGTGCCCCATCGTTGGTGTCAGTGGGGGAGGAATAGTGCCCATCGTTGGTGTCAGTGGGGGAGGAATAGTGCCCCATCGTTGGTGTCAGTGGGGGGAGGAATAGTGCCCCATCGTTGTGTCAGTGGGGGGAGGAATAGTGCCACATCGTTGGTGTCAGTGGGGGGAGGAATAGTGCCCCATCGTTGGTGTCAGTGGGGGGAGGAATAGTGCCCATCGTTGGTGTCAGTGGGGGGAGGAATAGTGCCCCATCGTTGGTGTCAGTAGGGGGAGGAATAGTGCCCCATCGTTGGTGTCAGTGGGGGGAGGAGTAGTGCCCCATCGTTGGTGTCAGTGGGGGGGGAGGAATAGTGCCCCATCGTTGGTATTAGTGACACAAATGATGGGGCACTATTCCTCCCACTGACACCAATGATACTTACCTTGCTGACCCCTGCTCCAGCCTGGGCTCGCTCTTCTCACTTACCTGTCAGCTGTCTTTCCTTCTCTGGCCGCTCTCCTCTTCACTCGCTCCCTCGGTCCTTCTTTGATGTCTCGCTGCGCTGCCGCTTGGCTCCTCCTCTCCAAGCTCCACCTCCTCGCCGGTGATTGGCCGCCTGTGTGCCTCTCTCCTGAGGCTACAGTTCCGGTGGCCAATCAGCAGCGAGGAGGCGGAGCTGCTGAGGCGATCTTGGAGGTGTGGCCGGGTGACAGCAGCGTATCATCCCGCCCACACACATCGCCGGAGACTGCAGCGGGTGTCTCGGTTCCTAAGACCATCGGAAATATGTGTTTTCCGATGGTCTTAGGCGACCCCTGGGAAATGGTCGTTCGACCCCCAAAGGGGTCGCGACCCCCAGGTTGAGAACCGCTGCTTAAGGTGTCAGGGTGTCACTGTCTATTTCTCCATGGAGGAGTGGGAGTATTTAGAGGACACAAGGACCTCTACAAGGGACGTCATGATGGACAATCAGACCGCCCTCACATCAACCGGTGTTTACAAGGTTGGTGGGACGGAGAATCTTAGAACATGGACTCATGGAGACGATGTGCGGATTTTCTATGTGATGTCACAATAATAAATCTTCTATCTTACAGATGATATTTTCTCTCCTTCTCTTGATGTAGAGTGGAGATCCAATCGATATAGAATTTGAGGTGAAATCAGAAGAAGAAGAGGCGTATGTGAGGGATGATCAGCAGTCTATGGAGGAGGATGGAATAACGGGGACATTTATAGAGGAGGACACTCCTACAGAGATCAGCACAGGTGGGTCAGGAACACGAAGTCCATGAGCTGAACACACCTGGGAGGTAAATAGCCGAATATTAAACATTACTTCAGGCCATTTTCTAGGCCAATAGACAATTTATCAAGCTCTTGGATTGGGGGGGGGGGGGCTGGGCACTGCCCGGGGGGATATGTAACAAAACTCTGTCTGGCAGTAGCGATTCACCGATGCTTCAAGTGAAACACGAAAAAATAATTGCAAGTTTCCAAAGCAGCCAGGGGTTCCCTTCATATACCGGACCCTTGTCCAAGATGAGGGTCTGCTGTAAATGTTCATGGAGGACCACAAACCCGGTGTGGGGGGTTTTCCTAAAATTTAGACCTGGTATGAATTTTAAGGTGGAACCCATGCCAAAAAAAACAAGGTGCAGTCCCACCCAAATTCCATACCAGACCCTTAGAGCTTTTTATGAATGTAACGGGGAGAAGCTTCCATGGAAACTTCAAGAAGAAAAGTCTAGGGTCCCCCCCCCAAAAAATTCATACAAAAGCTAACCATGCAGCCCAACTTGTCAGGAAAGGGGGTGGAAAAGCTTCCCTCCTGAACCATACCAGACCCTTGAAGAACCTTGCCGCCATGTTGATCAGGAGACACACCTCTTCTCCACAACCCAACCCTAGCCTACTGGTTGTGCGGGTCAGCTGGCAGGGGGCTTATGTGGAAGTTTCCTTTACCAATAGGAAGGCCCCCAGATCCCACCCTGCCATAAGGGGTACATAGTCCTCCCATCCACTGTCAGTCATAACACCTGGCAATGTAGGTCCAGGTCCTTAGCAATGGCGTCACCAATGAGGTCTCACCTTGATGACTGCATGCTTCTGAGAGCTTCGGCAGACAACAGCTGATAAAGTACAGGTAAAGGGGCGGGGTCTCCTGGGTGAAATCATGACCACGCAATTTTGGACATGACCATAATTTGTCAATGACATCACCCGGGAGACCCATCCATTTACTCAATCATTCACATTGGGGCGGACCGGTTTCTGGGTGCCATCTTCTTGTTAAATGAGGCTTCCAGATTCCAGCAGGTGCCTGCACCCACTAGCGTCTTCAGCATCCATTGATAGCGGGCAGCTGCGGATGTAACACGGCTACTAAGTATGACCTCCACTTTCGAGTGTTAATGAGATCTCATTCAGAAGATCCCCTGCCCAGCAGTACCCCCAGCTCTGCTGATCCCCTGCTCATTAGCTACTCCCAGCTCTGCTACTCCTAGCTCTGCTGATCCCCCACTCAGTAGCTACCCCCAGTTCTGCTGAGCCTCCTCTTTCTCAGATCCCCACTCACCTCCCGCTATATTGTTTCCGTGCTGCGCATCATGTGTGACTTACACAATTTCTCAGGCTTCGGCCCTTCAGCTCTGCTGATTCTCTGCCGCTCAGTCCTCTCTCCCTCCAGTCCCCATTCATTTCCTGCTATATTTCTCCCATGATGCTCACCACCTGTGATATCTGCTATTTTCTCCTGCTCCGGTCTCTCAACTTTGCTCATTGTTTGCTGCTCAGTCCTCTCCCTCCAGTTGCTGCTCACCTCCCGCTATATTGCTCCCCTGCTGCTCACCACATCCGACACCTGCTCATTTTTCCTGCTGCCGTCCCACAACTGTGCTGATCCTCTGCCACTCAGTTCTCTTTCCCCCACCTACCAAATTCCCAGCTAATGAGTAACCCCACTCAGCAGATCCCCAGCTCATTAGTACCCTTGCTTAGCAGATTCCCTGCAAAGTAGTAGCCCCATCTCTGCTGATCCCCCGCTCAGTAGTACCCTTGCTTAGCAGATTCCCTGCAAAGTAGTAGCCCCATCTCTGCTGATCCCCCGCTCAGTAGTAACCCCCAGCTCTTCTGATCCCCCGCTCAGTAGTAACCCCCAGCTCAGCTGATCCCCCGCTCCTTAGTAACCCCCAGCTCTGCTGATCCCCCACTCAGTAACCTCCAGCTCTTCTGATCCCCCACTCAGTAGTAACCTCCAGCTCTTCTGATCCCCCGTTCAGTAGTAACCCCCAGCTCTTCTGATCCCCCGTTCAGTAGTAACCCCCAGCTCTGCTGATCCCCCGCTCGGTAGTAACTCCCAGCTCTGCTGATCCCCCCCTCGGTAGTAACTCCCAGCTCTGCTGATCCCCCGCTCGGTAGTAACTCCCAGCTCTGCTGATCCCCCGCTCGGTAGTAACTCCCAGCTCTGCTGATCCCCCGCTCGGTAGTAACTCCCAGCTCTGCTGATCCCCCGCTCGGTAGTAACTCCCAGCTCTGCTGATCCCCGCTCAGTAGTAACTCCCAGCTCTGCTGATCCCCCGCTCGGTAGTAACTCCCAGCTCTGCTGATCCCCCGCTCGGTAGTAACTCCCCAGCTCTGCTGATCCCCCCGCTCGGTAGTAACTCCCAGCTATGCTGATCCCCCGCTCGGTAGTAACTCCCAGCTCTGCTGATCCCCCGCTCGGTTGTAACCTCCAGCTCTGCTGATCCTCTGTTCTGTAGTAACCTCCAGCTCTGCTGATCCTCTGGTCTGCGTGTGCCGTCGGCTAGTTGCTCCGCTCTAGTCAGGACCCCACTCACCTTCCTGCTGCTCCACACTGCACACCAGATGTGACGTCTGCACCAGACACTCACAGAATATATACACACGAGCCAGAAGTGACTGCTGATGACGTCTTTCCGCTAAAGCGGAATAAATGGCTCTCATAGGCTGCAGGTGCTGGTAGTGAGCATTGTCATAGACTTCTATGGAGGCCTTTGGAGATGCTTTGAAGTACCAAGGAAGATAGTTGGGGCACCATTTTTGAAGCAAATGCAACAGTGTGAACAGGACTGCCAGGAAACCATTGGATTTTTGGACGGGCTTTGATTGGTAAAAATGCGTGTCCAATGGTACATTTTGAAGCAAGTGTACACCAGGCCTTAGAGCTAAATGTTTACCCCCTCCCCCTGCCGAGGATTTACCCCGTCCCCCTCCCAGAGGATTTACCCCGTCCCCCTCCCAGAGGATTTACCCCTTCCCCCTTCTGAGGATTAACCCCCCCCCCCCCCCTTCCTGACCAGGCCACTTGTTTGCAATATGACGATGCGTTACTTTAACTGACAATTGCGCGGTCGTGCAACGCTGCACCTGAATGAAATTTATGTCCTTTTTTCCCCACGAATAGAGCTTTACTTTCGGTGGTATTTGATCCCCTCTGCGGTTGTTTTTATTTTTTTCGCTATAAACAAAAACAAGACTGACAATTTTGGGGGAAAAAATAAGTAAGTAAGCAAGTTTCAAATCTAATGGTCCTTTTTTTTTTTTTTTTTTTTTTTTATTTTCCAGGACCCGCCATAGAGAAACCCTCAAAGGATCGCCTCACTTTATCTCCAGGTTCTAAAATGGAAGATGAGGACATCCCAGGAGATTGTGCCGGAGAAAAGACAATGAGCTCCACTATGGATGGTGGACTTCCCAGTGTGGAGAGACCATGGAATCCCTCTGACTCTGAGCAACCTCGTCCTGTGGGGGATGGGGCCGGGGTTCAGGGGGAGAAGACATTTCCCTGTCCTAAGTGTGGGAAAAGTTTTCAGTCTGAATTAAGTCTTTCTGTACATCAAAGATCTCACACGGGTGGAAAGCGTTATTCCTGCCCTGAGTGTGGGAAATTGTTTTCACGGAAGTCCAATCTTTCCAGACATCAGAGTTTACACACGGGCGAG